CCGGCGTTCGCGAACGGTGCTGTTCGTGGCCCGAATTGGTCGTGAACAGAAGCATTCGTGACCCGAGGTACCACTGTATTACTAATTATTATTTCATTTTCTTTCTCTTTGTGTCTTGTATCCACTTTTTAATCTACTGCTGTTTTCTTTATCTGATTTATATACATACTGTTCTTTTGGTGTATGATCACAAATTTAATAAATAAACCATGAAGTTATAGAGCTGAGTATTCTGGGAGTTGAAGTCCACACATCTTAAAGTTCCAAGGTTGAGAAACACTGCTCTAGAGGAAGACTGTACAGTTAGATCAATAGTTTGAATAGGAGGTCTGCATTAGTCTTTTCATGAAAGTTACAAGTGGAAATACATCTTGCATACATTGTATTTTTTTTCTTGAGCAGAGCAGAGCAGAGCTGAAATCGCAGTGCCTGACAAACCAGACATAATTCAAGATTCTCTCTATAGTCAAACCTGGACAAAGATTTAAAGCAGGTGTTCCTAAATTTTTTGGTACTGCAGTCCCTTAACGTGATAAATGAATTTGCGTGATATTCCTCCATAAATAAAATTAAATGACAAATATTAAAACAGGAGGATACATACATAGGTTTAGCCATGTTCCACACTTGAGCTAGCGCACAGGCTAGCCTAGACAAAGCAGGACAAGTTCGGACAGTGTTCTTGCTTTGCATACAGAAGCCTGAATAGTTGAAAAATATTTTGCAACTCCTCTGGGGGTCCCATACCACACTTTACAAACTCCTGGATTAAGATGTTGAACTAGGACTGGGGAGATTGCAGTGCAATTCCACTTTCTCAGGTGTGGAAACTCACTGGGTGACTTTAGGTTAGTCATTCTTTCTCTCTGCTCAGTCTCAATCCTCATGTAAGCTGCCTTCAATTCCTGCAGGAAAGGCAGGCTATAAAACTAACAAAAAAAATATTGTATTTTAAAATGAATGCTTTAATGGAACTAAATGTATTCCATTTTTAGTCCACTGAGAATGGTAAAATCTTGTATGAACTATTAAGAAGCAGATATGGAGCCTCTGTTTATAACATTCATTCTGAAAATAACTTCCAATAAAACCATCTGTCAAAACAACTTTAGCAATTTGCAGTTGTGAGAGTTTTCCAGAGCTCTGTGTATATGTGTATGTGTACAATATATAAATTTTTGCACCCTTATACTTATTAACTGTCTTTCAAACCACAGTCAGCCTGCTTCTTGTTACCACTTTTCCAGATAAAATAACATTAATTTGTGACATAAATATCTCATGAAAGAAAGGACAGTTAACAATATTAAGAATTATTTCTGCAGCATAAACAGTGCTAATACTTCCAATTTGGGGAAATAAAAGAAGGTGAGTTTTTTAACCTGTAACACTCACTGACTGATACACTGATATTTCCCATCTCTTTCTCTCCTTCCCCCAGTTCAGTTTTGATACTTTTGTAGCATTCTTCACAACCCCTTGTCCTCTTATTACATTTCCAGAGGGAGATCAAGCATAATTGTTGTCAGCATCAGGGTGTTCATTTTTAATTAGAGGCTAATAGGAAAAACACTTTTCTATGTTGCAAGCTTAATTTATTACTCAATATTCAGTTATATTAGGAGCCTAAAACTTAAGAATTAGTTGTTTTTTTTTAATGTAACTAAATGTAATGTAATGTAACAAAGTAATATCTTTTGTCTCTATGTGGGTACATATTTTCTCCTGGCCTCTTGTGTTGTACGCTAGTATGTGTGCGCTGGAAAACAGCATGAGAGCTGCATACAGGTAGTCCTTCCTTAGCGACCACAATTGCGACCAGCAACTCCATCACTAAGTGCTGTGGTTGCTTAGCAGGAAATCACATAATCACAACAGACTTACAATATCACTTCCCATTTGGTCATTAAGTGAGTCACTGTGGTCATTAAGCGAAAACACGTGATTGCAACTTACCATTTTACTTCCACATCTCCCATTAACTCGGCTTGTCACAAGCTGGTTGGGAAGCATGCAGATGGTGATTATGTGACTATGGGATGCTGTGATGGTTGTAAATGTGAGGATTGGTAACAAGGTTGTTTTTTAACACTGTCATAACTTCGAACAATTGCTAAACAAGGTAGTCAGTAAGTGAGGACTACCTATACTCTTTCCTTCACTGGCTTTTCTCCCTGTGCTTGATCTGGTCCTGTTCTGTAAAGTTTTCAGAATGTTAAGTTTTGTTAAGTTCTGTTTAATTTTCAGATTGTGGTGGAGCCCACACAATGGTTCTATTGAATACTATCTCTAGGTGTGATTACCTTAGCTGTGAATTCTATAAATCTGTATGATGATTTTTATATGTTTTTGTATTGTCTTTTATTGTTTTAAATGGTTGTATTTTTGATTGTTTTGATTGTTTTAACTTTGTAAGCCATCCAGAGTCATATATGTATGAGATGGGCAGCTATATATATTAGAATAATAAATAAATTAGAATATTTCTTTAAGTCAGACTTACTGATAAATACCTTCTACATTACAGTATCCATTTTGTTATGTTATTGGATAATTTTAGTACTTGCATTATATTATTTTACTATCTTAATTAAAAGGCAAACACTTTGAAACATTTGTAGTCCATTACACTAGAAATTAATAGCCAACTTTTTAATTAGCATTGGCTGTAACTTTTATATTTAAACTTTTTTGGAAGTACCAAAATTTGCAGCCAAATTAGTGAATGAGGGAGTTATCCATCATTTTCTTGGTAGATTTATAAAAACCTATCAAGAGAACAAAGTGGTTAATACTACAGGAGATGAGCAATGGCAACCCCTGTTGCTGTTCCATTTAAGATATAAGGAATATTTCTTCATTGCATTCTTTTAAGCTGAGGCATGCTTTAGCCATAAGTCTAATAAGACTTAATTTAAAATTTCTTTCAAAATAAATATGGATAGATTTATCCCAAAATTTATTATAATGAAAATTTGCAAATGAATAGGTCTTCTAAATTATGAAATTGAAATGTATCAAATGAAGTCTGTAAACAGCTTATATAACTGAAAAGCATAAGTTATCTTTGCATGTGTTGTGAAAGAATAAATTGTATATACTGTGTGTAGCTTTGTTATTAGGTAGTGAAGAATATAACTTGGATGCTAGCTATTCTGTTTCAAGGTAGCAGACACAGTTGCCAAGGAGCAGAAGCAGATAACAGCAGACAAGCTGTAAATCAAAGACTTAGCAAAGTAAAATACTATTTGCAGTCCAAGAAGCAAAAGAGTAGTCTGGTTACGTTGTCAAAAGTCACAAAGCCAAATTGGGTAGTCAGCCAGTCCAGATGTCAGGAATTCAAGCACAGGATACACACAAGACACAAGCTAGGTTTTCAAACAGTTGTTTTCCAACACAGAGTGAAGGCAAAGCAAGCTATGTAAATCTCGTCTGCTGGCAGCTGGCTGCAATTGTTCAGCTTCACCCTTTGCCTTGCAAGGAGTCTCATTGATTGATGCTGCTCTGCTTGCCTCTGTGCATCTGGATCTGGGGCTTGGGGGTCGTGCCTTGTCATCTGACTACTCCATCAGGAGATGCCTGTGGCTGATCAGCCTCAGATGCATCATGGCTTAATGATTCCTGAGGCTGACATTCCACAGGCTCAGCTGGAACAAAATTGTCAGAATCAGATTCAGAGTCAGACTCTGAATCATGGCTCATAACACTAACAAATTGCATTCTAGAAGAGTAATTGCTTACATCACTCGGTGTTTCATTGGCTTTTGTATGGGTGATAACCCACACTGCATAAATAGACCTCTGCTTATTCAGCAAGATCTTCCTTCTCTTCATTGTGTTCCAGTTGGTTAGAAGATCAACAATAGACTTATAGAGCAAGTCACAACCTTTAAGTATCTAAGCATCCACTTTCAAACATCTGTTGGCTGGATCAATCAAGCAAAGGATCTTCTTATAAAAGCCCCTAAAATTTCCTTTGCAATTATTAAATATGCATCTCAGTATGGTAACAACTGTACCAGGAGCTATCAGATTATTCAAGGCTAAAATACTGGGCTTATGCTATATGGCACCCAGTTATGTGTATATACAGTATCTAGTCCAAATTTTGAAAGACTATAACCTGAGTTCGTTATTCCACTCTTAACTTCCTTATCTGGCTGGAATTAGACTATATCTCCATAGTCTCTGATACCTCAGATCCTGATTGAAGCAGATTCTTTGGGGAATACCTTTGGTCTGTCTCACCTTAGTAGATAGGTTTAAGTTCTTAAGAAGAATCTTACTGAGGTTTTTTCCCCTCAACATTAGCTGGTCTCACCCCTGATAAAACCACAGTTATCTTTCAGTGGAGAATCTGGGACCTGTATCTTTAAACTGATAGAATCAGTCTCCCACCTCCATTACAACTCTGTAACCACCTCCGCTGCTCCATTCCCAGATGTTTTATAACATTTCCCACACTTCACATCAGAGACTTTTCACCTTGGCCCAAAATGTCAAATTACCCATAAGGGTCAGTTGTAGATGTATCGATCTACAATTGATAGATACATCAGTATCTTCTGTGAAAACTGCACTTGTTTGTGTTCCGATATAGAAGTTGAATTTGTTTCACACATACTGTTAGACCGCCCTCTATACAACAAATGGAGGACTAAACTCATAATACCAGTTACTAAAGATCTTAATTGCTCCTCCTTTTTTTCTTGACGATCAAATTTCACCTCTTGCCAACAAGGTTGTAACAATAGCCATGGCTTGTAAAAATCATCTGGTGCCTCTCTTATATTATTAATTGCTTGAGGCTTTTTTGTATATGTTTTATTATATTGTTAATTTATATTGCTGTTTTATATCTGATGTGTTTTTATACTGTCTTCTTTTAAATACTGGTCATGGACAGTAAATAGACAAACATAAACATGGTAGGACTATCTGGGACAAAAGTAAACATTTAAATTGTATATTCAGTAGTAGTTTTTGGCACACACTGAAAGGTAAATGAGGAAAGAGCAGAAACCATTTAAGGAGGTTTTCACCTTTCTGTTTGAGTAATAAATTCAACTCACTTCTTGCAAAGCTAGGTATTAATTCATATTGCACTTTTCAGAAACAAGTATTATGCTTTTTTTATGTTGCTTTTAGGAAGAGGGATTTACACAGCGACCTATGTTCCATATTGTTCACGAAATAACTGTAATTATCTTCCATATTTCAGTGGAATCTGAAATTTTCAGTTTTGTAGACAAAAGGCAATTTTTATCTTTCAGGTGATGTTTGAAACATACCAGTTTTCTGGTGTTTACGTAGCCATTCAGGCAGTCCTCACTCTGTATGCACAAGGTAAGAATAAGTACTATTTTGAATTACATGTATCGTAAAGAAATATATTTGAACCAAACCCAGTCTGTAATTACAAAAATTCCTTAGACCAGACTCAGCCTTTCTGGTAGCGTTTTTGCCTAAGGATATTATTTTGCTTAGTCTAGTAAAATTTAAGGTTTTTGAAAGTGTAAGTGTAAACTAAAATGCATTCTTGTATAAGTTAATCTTTAGGGTTTTTTTTTTTTAAATGACTTTATTATTTTTAGTTGCTGTTCTTATTCTTTCTGGTGTTTATTCTTTTTGTTTTTATGAGTATCAGGTTATCATGGGTGTTCTATTATTGGCCTGTTTTAAGATATGTTTTGTAAAGTCCTAAGCAGATACACATATGTAAACAAAAAGTATCTGAAAAAATATTTTAGCAGTGTGCATTGTTCCACAGAAAGGAACAAAGTGCAGCAGAGTGAGAAAACGTATCAGAACAATAAGGTAGTAAACTCAGAATTAGATGGTATTGCATGCTGAAAAGCTTAGGCAAATAAAAATCCATTTAAAAAATCTTCCTGTCTAGTTTAGTCAGCTATAAACAGAAGCTTTTTCTTGTCTGGACTGAATGTGATTTTATTGCCTCTCATCTAGTTTATTACTGATTCCAAACATCAGTTCATCTACAGGTAGTCCTTGCTTAACGACCGTTTAATGATTGTTCGAAGTTATGACAGCCTTGGAAAGAGTGCTTTATGGCCCATAAAGCACTTCCAGGTGTCGTAAAATGTCGCATCCCCTCCCCCTGCAGTCACATGGCCTCATTTTGGGTGCTTGGCAACCAGCTCGCATTTACGACTGGTTGCCAGGTGCCCCACGATCATGTGATTGCCATTTGCAAACTTCTCTGCCGGTTTCCCCAGACAGACAGTCAGTGGGAAAGCCAGCAGGGAAGATTGTAGGCAGAGGGGATAGAGGGAATCTGAAATCTTTCTGCAGGCTGCAGAAACAGAGCTGAAATCTTCAGGATTTGAGTTCTGTTCCTGCCACCCCATGAAGGATTTCCCCTCCATGCATGGAAGGGAGGGGAAACCCTTCGTGGGGTGGCAGGAACGGAGCTCAAATCCTGAAGATTTCAGCTCAATTCCTGCAGCCCCATGGAGGGGAGGAGAAATAGTTTAGCAGGCTGCAGAAACATTTGAGAGCAAAAGGACTGCCTGCTGAAATCCTTCAGCAGGCAGCCCTTTCACTCATCTATTTAATGACCTGGGAGATTGCTTAACAACTGCAGCCAGGAGTGCCTCGATTGCAGTCATTGAGTGAAGTAGTCATGTGGGCATCTCACTTAATGACTGCTTCGCTCAACGATCAAGATTCCAGTCCCAATTGTGGTTGTTAAATGGGGACTACCTGTATAGCTCAATGTCATTAATGTACTACTGGCATCTTGCTCTAGTTTATAATGCAGATGTTAACATTGAACCCTGAGAGATGAGATGACATCCCAAGTCTTTTCAGGACAAACTGTAACTACATATTCTAGTGTTCCATGTGAAAAACATATATGAACAGCACCATTTTCTAGAATTGATTGTGCCAGTAGAAGTGGAACCAGTGAAACAAAGTATCCTGTATTACAGATGATTTTTTCCAGCAGGATTTTATAGCTAATATAATCAAACACCACTAAAAATTCTAAGAAAATTATCAGAGTCACTTGCAGCATGCATAAGGGATCTGTCGGGAAGGCCAAGGCAGCGTGGGTTTGAAAACCAAGCCTGAAATCAGATTGAAGTGTCCTCATGTGTTTTTTTTTTTGTTTTTCTTCAGGTTTACTAACTGGCGTTGTTGTGGATTCTGGAGATGGTGTTACTCACATCTGTCCAGTCTATGAAGGTTTTTCTCTTCCTCATCTCACCAGGAGATTAGATATTGCTGGTAGAGATATTACCAGATATCTCATTAAAGTAAGTTGGAGATGTTAAATATGAAAAGATATATTGCCAATTTTAGTATGTCTTGAGCTCATTTTTTCACAAGCCTACGATGGGGAAAATCAGAAAGCCAGACAATGGGATATTTCTCACAAAACTGTAATATTATTCCTTAGGAAGGAATGGACACTGAGCATTTATTCAGAATACCAGAAAACATTTACTTGCTGAATTCTAAGCTACATCTGCAGCTTTGAAGTGATTTACTGCAATATTAAGGCATTTATATAAATGAAAAATTGTCTTGCAAAATAGTGTACTGGCAATGAAGAAATAAGTGAAAGATTACTTCCAAAAGTTCCACTCAAAGAGGTTTAACCTTGATAAGCTATTCAAGGAACAGTACTTTTATTATCAGTAAGCAACTGTGCCTTGGATACCACTAGATCTTAGAGCAAGGCCTCCTTGCATTGTCTTGAGAATCCAGTTGTCTGTTGCAGAAGACAATTATTTTGTTTGTTTGTGGAGAAGACATTCACAGAGACACATGCAAGGTCCTCATCAATTTGGGTTTTAAAACTGGGCCAAGCAAATGAACAATGGTAAATGTTCTTGCAACTAGCCTCCTTGGGAGGTAGACAGCAGAGTTTTGTGTAAGAAAGAGTCTAGGGACTCTCTTCAAGAACAGGAGTATATTCTCTGGGCAATTTTAAAGTATTTATAGATCAATTTGCATGTATTCTGTTAATGTCTGATGAGAAACTCAGTTGATATGATTGAGTTCAAAATAAAATGTGAGCAGCAACCATCAATCAAGATACAATATATCTTTGGTGTTTTTACTATAAAAGATAACATGTCTCAATCTGAAAGCCTCGTTTTGTTAACCATAATGTGATTCCTGTAGCAACTGATCTGTCTTTCACAAGCCTGAAAGCTGTTTTCAGGTCTGCCATTAACTATCTTATTTCAATACTAGCTACTTTTACTACGAGGCTATGCCTTCAATCATTCTGCTGATTTTGAGACTGTTCGCATGATTAAAGAAAAGCTCTGCTATGTGGGTTACAATATTGAACAGGAGCAGAAATTGGCCTTGGAAACTACCGTGTTAGTTGAGTCCTACACAGTGAGTATATTTTAAAAAGTGTCCATTGTAATGCAAAAGCAGATAACCTGTTATTTTTCAGCTCTAATAAATCCTAGCTGGCATAGCCAGGGTTTATATGTCTATTTATCTATATGTCTCTTTATCTAAGAGATCTGAAGAGTGCTTAGAGTATTTGCCCCTGGTAAAACACTTCAGACATTAATGCTGTAGGAGTAAGTAGAATAACACAAAATGGTGCATACATCCAAAAGATCATCCAAACTTTTGAGATCTCTAGAATGCTTCATTAGGCAAAAATGGGACAGGGGAAGAAGCAAGAAAGTCCAAAAATTGGACCAGGTGATTCAGCACAAGGTCTGCCATTCAGAATTGCCCTCAAAGTAGACATTGTAAGTTGAATGTTATCACTGGTAATTGGTATTAATCAGTATCAGGCTACACCCAGTATTCAGAAAATGTCTGTTTCCCCATTCTTATTTTAAATGTTCTTCAGGTTGATTGCTTTAATGGATGGCAAATACAAAAATATGAATGTGTTGTTTCTTTTTTTCCTTACTTTTCTTAAACCTTAATTAGATTGGCTGCTTTATGGTGTGATAGCTATGACCATGATCAATTAAATTTTATGAGTCTTAATAGAAATTTTTATTTTATTGAAAAATGATAGTAGCTAGTAATGAAGGGTAAATATTACTTTAGGTAAGCAGTAGGTACTTATAAAGTTGTAATTGCCCATCATTACTAGCAACTAGTATGTCCTTTAATAGAATTATAGGATTGAAAGAGAATTGGAAGTCTTCTAGTCCAGCCCTCTGTCCAGGGCAAGAATCCTCATCTCATCTCAGACAAATGGCTGTCCAACCTTTGTTTGAAAACTTCCAGCAATGGAACACCTACAACTACAGGAAATTCTTCCTTATTTCAAGTTCAGATCTCCTTTAAAGCTTTCGCCCATTGGTTCTTGCTCTACACTTAGGAGCTGTGGAGAATAAATTCACTCCCTCTTCCTTGTGACAGCCCTTCAAGTATTTGAAAAACGGTATCAGGTATCCTCTTGGCTTTCTGTTCTTTAGGCTAAAACCTAGTCCCTTTAAATGTTCATAAGAATTAACCTCCAGGCCTCTCACCATCTTACACATTCTTCTTTGCACTCTTTCCAGTTCTTCAGTGTCCTTGTATTGTGATCAGAACTTGACACAGTGTTCCAGGTGTGGTCTGATCAATGCAGCTTTGAGCAGTACTATCAGTTTCCATGATTTCAACACTATATTTCTGTTGATGCAGCACACTGCTGGCTAATGCTTAATCTGTGGTCTATCAGAATGCCCGTCCTTCTTACAGATATTATTGCCAAGCCAGATACCACTTATCTTGTACCTGTACATCTGGTTTCTCCTACCTAAGTGCAGAACCCTTGATCTGCTTTTCTTGGATGTGGCCCAGTGTTCAAGTCTGAATCTTGAGTCTGTTTTCTGTGGTGATAGCAATTCCCCCCACCCCCCACCCCTTTTGGCATCTGTAAATTTCTGTCCTCTAAGTCACTTATGAAAATATTGGAGACCGCTGGGCCTTGGACGGAACCCTCAGGTACCCCACAGGATGAATAGACAGGTGAATTGATTTAGTTAGTTTATGAAGCCACCCATCTCACTGCAGCAACCCTGGGCAGCTAACAGTAAATAAAATAAAAACCAACAATCCAAAATAGTTAAAAAACAGACAGCTGTCAATATACAGTGTGCCAAAAGTCTAAATAGATCCTTTCCATCTTACCAATCAATAACAAATAGACAGATAATAGGCAGCTAACCAACATGGCTCATCTAACAACCCAGCTCAATTCTTGAGGGAAACATCTGATCTTTAACACTTGAACATGAAGACCAACATGACTGTTCCAGCCTCTTTCCATGTTGATACACTACCATTAAGACCCACTTATTAGATGCAGTTGTTCAAGCAGCTGTGAATCTATCTGGATGTACCATTTTATCAATAAGGCTATAGTCAACTTTGTGAAATGCCTTACTGAAATCTAAGTATGGTACATTCACAGCATTCCCTCAGTCTACTAATCATTTTGTTAAGGAAAGCAGTATGATTTGCCTGGCACAACCTGTTTTTAACAAACCCTTGCTGTCTTCTAGTAATCCTTCCTAAGTTCTTGCAAACCCACTGCTTGATTATCTTTTATAAGATTTCCCCTAGTAGTGATGTCAAACTGACTGGTCTGTAGTTTCCTGGACCACTTTTGCCCTTTTTTAAAGATGGGAACAAGAGTAGCTCTTCTCCAGCCTCCTGGTACTTCCCCTGTACTCCAGTAGTTCTCAAAGATTATAGTCAGTGGTTCTGAGGTTGCATCCTCCAGTTCCTTTGTTATGACGCAAGATCTTCTGGACTGGATTTACTTTATAAATACATAAGAACAGTCCTGCTAGGTCAGACCAAGGCCCATCTTAACCTAACATTTTGTTTCTTGAGTGACCAACCAGGTACTTCTGAGATGTTTCTAGGAAGGGATTAGAGATGTACCTTTATTACCCTTATCACCATTATTCCCCTGCACCTGCTATTTGGAAGCATGCTGTCCCCAATCCAGAAGTAACTGATAATTCTTGATAGACCTGTCTTCCATGAATTTATCCAATCCACTTAAAGTCTTCCAGATTTTCATCACATCTTATAATCAATTCCACAGGTTAACTTTGTGCTATGTGAAGAAGTGATTCCTTTTGTCTGATTTAAATCTTCTGGTCGGCTTCCCTCCCTATTCATATTCTATATACCATGTCCGGTTTTACACCTCTCACTTATGTCCCCATTTGTTTGCCTTTCTCTGTCTAAAGAGTCCCAAGCTTTATAGCCTTTTCTAGTAGAGAAGGTTTTTTTGAGCCTCCTGCTCATTTTGCCTACCCTCTTCTGTATATCCTTATCTATAATAATATATAGATAAGAGAGCCAGTTTGGTGTAGTGGTTAAGGCCCCAGGCTAGAAACCGGAGACTGTGAGTTCTAGACCTGCCTTAGGCACAAAGTCAGCTGGGTGAGCTTGGGCCAATCACTCTCTCTCAGCCCTAGGAAGCAGGCAAGGGCAAACCACTTCTATATACACACATGCATGTACACACACACACACACACACA